AAAAGAAAAGTGACCAAACAGCCATACAATAAGTCAGGATTCACACACAAAACCTAAGGTCAGACAAGGAAATGGAAGACAACAATCGAAAGCATCCCTCCTGAAGAACCATCATAAGGAACCAAAAACAACCACCAAAAGAACTCCAAAATAATCACGTATCAAATCAGGGTACCAAACAAAGACGACGTGACAGTACGAATAGCGACCAGAACCCGCCTATGACATACTCAAATGTGTGGTAGCTATGACAGTGCCTAGTGCCCGCCCACACTTACTCGTCAGTAAGGTAGCATCGACGACAACTAGTTCACTAGTTTATAACCTGCTCCCCACTAGATCTATCTACGAAACCTCTCGAAACAAATGATATCAATGTCGAAAATGATCATTACCAAAAGCACTACAGAGACCAACATTTTGTGAGAGTTGAGAAATGGTCCAAAGATGTCCGGTCGGACCATTTTGGCTAATCCTAAAACTCTAAAAACAATGCCATAGGTACTGTTACGCTTAAAGCCTTAAATCCACAGTGTAAGTAGAGCTAGCAACGCACTTCTACATTGTAAATCACCCTTATCAACGGCCTTAGTCACGAATCCCAAGCCTGTCAAGCAAAACAGCGTATCCAAAATCCCAGATATCATCCTGGAACAGATCAACTACTAGACTACACCATAATCAAACATCGGATCAAAATCCCAATCAGGGTAACTAAATCCTCGAAAAACAAGTCCACCACGTGGCACACATATCAAATCCAGACAACCAAGGTCACGAAACGAATCTCCCGAAACCGTGCTTGGCATCACCAAGCCAAATCAAAATTCCTCAATGTCAATTCATAAACCACCACTGGAACTACGATCCCTTAAAACTATGCCTAGCCATAACTAGGACGAGAAAACTCCACAAACAAGTCATATTCAATAACGATCCTCCAAAACTTCTCCTAAGAGTAAACCATGTCTAGGTCTCCAAAACTGAAACAAGTCTCCAAAAGACATTCCTAAACAGCGTCAAGCTCACACAACAAATCAAACAAATCCTCAATCAAATGGATACAAGTCCGCGTAAAATGATCTCACACCAATCCACTCACTCAGAGCAGCTTAATTCCGTCAACAACCATGGCAGAAACTCCCCAAGGGAAGACACGAAAGAAAGGGAACCACCAGTCCTAAGAAGAACAACACCACGACTCTGTCTTTGAAACGAAAGACAACAAGGTTAAAGACTTCACTCCCTACATAGAAGTAAGTCGACCAAAATCCATCAAATCCTCACCAAGGACTTAAGATAACAATGGTGATCCTCACGACCCTAAAACCGTGCACAAGGCAACGAGGAGAAGAGACTTATACCTTGTGAAGTCCCTTACTCGAACCAAGAAAGGAGAAGAAACCCTATTCTCCCACAAATGTCAACATGACAAATACGAAAAGGGAACAAAAAGGGAAAAACTAAACATGAAAGTCGTCACAAAACAAGGAAGTGTAACTACCAAAAAAGTATATCTACTCACATAGATAAAATCAAGGGTACATTCAACACGTCTCCACGTAAGCACAAAATCATGTCACTAAAGTACAGTAACAACATGGCATCTCTAAGCATATAAAGAAGGTATGCTAATGCCACACAACAAGAAAGCAAATGTGGACACACTTCCACCTACTCATGTATCACAAAATCATAAATCATACTACTAACATGGTAGTAAACGAAACTGCAGAAGATAAAATGATGTAACAATGAATCCCATGGACATCGTGTCCTAGAGTGTCTAGGTAAAAGGAAAGACCAGTCCTAGCCAAAAGTGTCATCACGCAAGGGAACTAAAAAAAAATGGTAGCTATAGCCATACCAACAACAAACAAATCAATCACTACGACTGATCCCCAAAACAACCATTATCATCATTGATCAAAAGGACAACGCCTATCAAGACAAAACCACGCTGATTCCATCCGAACTGCGCTAGTAGCTAGCCAGTGCGGTAGCATGACAGTGCCGTGCACCCACCTACAAACATACTCACCCACAAAAATTGTAATCTCAGAGGAACCTCCCAAACGAACAAGAAGCCTAAGAGGTCCATAACCTCATCATGGCCCAAAACCAACAAATCCAGCACTACGGTTACGCCTAATGGCTCACCTCACGAAAGCCCGAACAAAAGGTAACCTTCCACTTATCCAAAACCAACGCTAGGCCAACAACGATCTAAACCACTGCAAAACCATGTGGACAATCACCAACAACCTCAAAGAAGAGTGCCTAAACAAAATCAGACACACCAACAATCGCACTAAGTGCAATTCACCAAACAACTTAACCTCAAGTCAAACATCCATGACTAATCCCAAGTCCTGTTAAATATGCAAATCAATCATGCATATATAAATCTAATCTAGCATACATCATATGTCATGCTTTTTATAAAAGAATTAAATCATGCAAAACAAACGGTATACCACATGTAGCACATAAACATATAAATATGTTATCAAACCAAAACATGATATGATGAAGCATATAAACACATAGAGCATGGCAACAAAAGCAAGATATGCACCCAAAATCCGTCGTCAATAGGTTTTCGAACCTAAGAGCTCTGATACCACCTGTGACGACACTGGATTTTTTAACCCAGTGTGTCCTATGATGACCCGAAGCGAATCCAGAATACGGAAGCAAAATGAAAACAAGTCCATAGAGATGTACGTTATCCCTAAGACATAAGAACGGCCTTCGAGGAATCTCGAGACTCAACGGAAGCAAAACGAAGACAAGGGTGTCGAAACCCTACCAAAAGAAGGACCAAGGGTAAAATGGTCATTTCACCCTAAAAGGAAGGAATTTAACTTCCAATAAGTCAACTGAGGTCAAAAACATCATTTGGTAGCTTCACATGAAGTCCCAAGGCTAAAAGAAGTGAAATCCCAAATGAACCCTATCCTGGTTCGAACCAAATTTGACACCCTCTCACTAAAACAAGGATATCTTGAGCTAGGAGAAGAATCTGAAACTGAAATTTATACCATTGGAAAGCTTACTTCGACGCGGTCAATTTAGACTCAAGAACGGACCAAATTGGAGTTAAAACGAAGAAGTTACGTCAGATCAAAGTTGGAAGGCCGAAGCTGAACCTACAAACAAGTTCTGCAAGACTTCTTGTTTTTAAAAGAAGTCTTTGGCCTTCCAACTTGGATCTAACGTAACTTCTTCGTTTCAACTCCGATTTGATCCGTTCTTGAGTCTAAATTGGCCGCGTCGAAGTAAGCTTTCCAGTGGTATAAATTTTAGTTTCAGATTCTTCTCCTAGCTCAAGATATCCTTATTTTAGTGAGAGGGTGTTAGATTTGGTTCGAACCGGGATAGGGTTCATTTGGGATTTCACTTCTTTTGGCCTTGGGACTTCATGTGAAGCTACCAAAGGATGTTTTTGACCTCATTTGACTTGTTGGAAGTTAAATTCCTTCCTCTTAGGGTGAAATGACCATTTTACCCTTGGTCTTTCTTTTGGTAGGGTTTTGACACCCTTGTCTTCGTTTTGCTTCCGTTGAGTCTTGAGATTCCTCGAAGGGCCGTTCTTGTGTCCTAGGGATAACGTACATCTCTATGGACTTGTTTTCATTTTACTTCCGCATTCTGGATCCGCTTCGGGTCATCACAGGACACACTGGGTTGAAAAATCCAGAGTCGTCACACATCCATTTGTCATATATATTTTTTCTATTCAAATATCAAATTATCAATAAATTTGTAATTTTTTTTATAGTAGGGTTCTAGAATACTCCGAAAAATATCTAGCTAAAGAATATCATACCACATGTTTGGGAGAATTATAGAATGGAGTTGTAGAAGAATACTCCCAAGAACTATACAATGGTAGAGTAATATAGAAATTTCTATACATATCTTTTGTTACTCTATGTGACGGCTAAAGAATCAAACGGTGCACTTTTGTCACTCTCTGTACGTCCTTATTTTCACTTCAAATCCCACATCACCAATTTGGTTTTACTGGCACGTACCCATCCTCCCTCATGCTTAATTTGGAGGCCAGCGATGTCATCATCTTTCAGGAGTAATGTTATGGAGCTAGCATCATAATGTGGACTAGTAGTAGTTGAGTCTCAAAGTTTGTTTCATCTCCCCATGATACTCTCTTTTCATGCTCATTAACAGTGATGAATTAGCAAGGATCTGGGTGGTCACTGTCTGCATTTATGAGGAGCATGTTTAGAGATCAAATTAAATTTCTACTGATAGAGCATATAACTTCTCTTCTTTTTAGTTCAGTTTATTTCTGTTTGTTTGGGTGTAAAATATTTTTTGAACAACCAAATATCAAAAAATATTTTACATTAAACAAACTGAATGATTATCAAATGGTGTTATCATTGTTATGTTTTTTTGCAGCCTTCTTGTTTATTGTCAAATTATATAAGGGGTTCTCTCTGCTTCTCATAAATATATCTAGCTAGATTACTTAAAAAAAAAATAAAAAATTATATACCTAAAAATAAAAAAGACTAACTAAAATTTCTATTATGTGTAGAGAGAACCGAAAAAAAAAGATTTTTTTTTTTTGAAGCAACAAGGTGTTGCTCAGTGTTGTTCGCCCATTTGGATGGAGTTGTTGATCAAATGAATCTATATATATATATATATATATATATATATATATATATATATATATATATATATATATATAATATTTTTAAAAAGAGAGAGCTCACGCTTGATAGGCATCCAAAGTTCCTAATTTCTGTTTACAATGCACATGCTGCCAATACGCCAACGAGCATTACTTTTCCTCTTCTGACATTCACACAATTAGTCTCATATAATGCAAGCAAATTATTTATTATGTGAATCCCGCATCTTTATTTATAACAATATCCTATATATATATATATAGATTACGGGAAGCAGGACCATAAAACAGTACTGATGCAACTAAACATTTTTTTTGGTTAAAGCTGATACAACTAAACATTGTGTGTCTTGAGATAGTCGGTTTGAGCTTTTCCGTCCTGTTTCCTTGTCACAGTGTGTTTAATGTAATCAGCGTATTTAACAGTTCTGTACAGTCTTGGGTGATCATCATCTACCACTGCTTCCAGTGGACCAATTTCCACTTCTTCGTTTGGCACAACGAAGGTTGCAACAGATATTCTTGCCTTCTTCTCATTTGTAATAACTCTGTGCTCAATGCTTTTATACATTCCATTGCTCCACACCTGCAAAACCAAGAAGCTTATAAATTTACCCTCCAAAATAAAGAAGATGGTATAAATCCTATCAAATTTTGTTTACTGGGGTACCTCCATAGCGTCGCCTATGTTCACAACTATTGCGTTTGGAATCGGTTTTACTACAACCCATCCTCCCTCATGCTTAACTTGGAGGCCGGAAATCTCATCATCTTGCAGAAGTAAGGTTATGGAGCTCTCATCAGAATGTGGACTAATGCCAATGACTAAATCAGGATTTGAGCAAGTCGGGTAGTAGTTAAGTCGTACCGACTGTTTCATTTCCCCATGATACTCTTCTAGACTCTCTTTTTTCATGCCCATTGCCAATGATAAATTGGCAAAGATCTGGTTAGTCAGCGTCTGCATTTCTATGGAGTACTCTTCAACTGCTTCTCTGTAAAAAAAAAAAAAAAAAAAATATTGTACTGATCGACATGATATGTAACTGTGTTTCTATTGATGGTTTATTACTATGTTATCAGTTTATTTATTTATTTTTATTGAGTTTTCTCTATATATTTCTCATAAATCCATCTCTTCCAATTTTCTAGTTAGATAACTAATTAATATTTGTATTATTTGTTTAGAGAGCTAGCTAGAGAAGCAAAGAAACATACTTGAAACCTGGAATTGTGGTTGGCCAGTACTTCATATTCCTGCAGTTAGTTGGTAATGTCATCAACATAATCATGTCATTCCAATCCAGTTTTTGCTCATCTGAGACTACATAGATTTGGCCATATCCTTGAAGATCATTTGCTGCCTTTGCGTACTTCTTTTTCTCTACCAAAGGGAGATCGAAAAACGCTGTCACAGCAGCCTTCATTTTATGCAGCACCTTGTCCGTCACGCCGTGGTTTGTTATCTACCAATTATATATTAAAAGATGTGTGTTTATATGTGTGTGTGTATATATATATATATATGAGATATTAATAATGTCAAAGTAGATATATAGATATATGCTCAATCAAATTAGAAAGTGATGATGAGAAATACCTGGAAGAAACCCCACTCCTTGCAAGCGGAGTCCAATCTTTTTCGCTCATTTTCATCTCCATTATCAAGCAAAGAGAGATTTATGATTGGGATTTCAGATGAAACTGGACTTGTTTCAGAATGTAGAGGTCTGTTTTCTTGATTTTGTATGTACCTTTCAGGAACACTCTGAGAATCATTTCTTACTATTTCTTGGACACTGGGTACAGTTCTAGAGCTTCCCCAACTCCACCCTTTATCATCATCATTCACACCTCCATTTTCTACTTTTGAATCCATTATTTGTTGTAGCCACTGAATACTTTTCACGGTTCTTGGCGTGTAATTTATACTAGCTATTTGAACCTCACGATTTCCCTTTGTAGCGCGCATTTTGGATGCTGTTTTGTCATTTGTGTCTTGTTTAACTTGACGGATTATGGAATATTATATTAATTAAAGAGCAAATTACAACTAAGTATGATTATTATTGAATTAATAATAATGGGAATATTACCCTATTTATCATCGATCATTAGATATTTCCATTGGTAGCATTTGGACTTTCTGTTTCTTGTTTGCCAGATTGTTATACTAAATGCAAAAAACTTCTCATCCTGCCAAAATTTTTGTTTGTTTGTTTGTTTGTTTTTTTTGTTATTTTTGTTTTGTTTTGTTTTGTTTTGTTTTGTTTTTTTTTTTTTTTTGGGTGTTTTGTGTTTTTGCCTAGTTATCGATCTTTACATGGCAAATCCTTCAACCAATTTCGTTTCTATGATATAGCGGATATTTCTATGGGAAGGTCTCATTAGACATTATAGGATAATTAATTAAGTATTTTTCTTTTTTTATAAAAAAAATTGACTATCTTCTCTATATGTATCTCTATTGTAATACCTTTAATATTCATCCGCTGGCGTTGTGGAATGCCCACATGAACTCTCACCTATTTAGAGTCTTAGGCCCTAACAATAAATTACAAAATTCTATAGTAGGGTTTTAGAATACTCCGATATCTAGCTAATGAAATATCATACACATGTTTGGGAGAACTATAGAATGCAGTTGTAGAAGAGTACTCCAAGAGCTATCGAGTGATATAGATATTTCTATTCATATCTTTCTTTTGTCACTCTCTGTACGTCCTTATGTTCTCTTCAAATCACCAATTTGGATTAGTGTTGGTGTTAACAGCTATACGTGGTCAACCTTCATTGAATATCTAATTAGCTTCCTTGTATATATAATTAGATTCGTATTTCTTTGGCTATTCTTTTGCTCTCCTTGTATATGACGATACAATTATAACATAAGTTATATATATGAAAATATTATTCTTTGTCTCTCCATGAAGATGAAGAACACCAACTTCTGGCGTTGTTTTATTCTTATCATGGTATTAGAAAAGCTTTGATTATTATTATTATTATTATTTTTCTTCTCTTAATTGCGATCTTTTCTTGCTCATCACAATGGCCGGCAATGGCAAAAATGGAGAGATGTTAGGTGAAGATCCCTTCTACATTCACCGCTCTGATAATCCAACAACACCTCCTTTAAATGATGACAATTATGGATCTTGGCTCCGCCCAATCACCATGGCTTTGCGAGCCAAAAATAAAATAGGGTTTGTGGATGGCTCCGTCCAATGACCTGATACAGATAAAGCGCGCTAATGAAGTTTCTCAATGGGAGGGGTGTAATGTAACGACCCACTCCACCACATGGTATGATATTGTTCGCTTTGGACCTGAGCTCGCACGGTTTTGCTCTTGGATTTCACCCCAAAAGGCCTTATACCAATTGGAATGACACACTTACATATAAACACTTCACCTTTCCTCTACCCAGGCGATATAGGACTGTGCACCCGTAACTCGCCAGTGTGGTAGCCTGACAGTGTCTCTCGCACCCGCCCACGGCACACCCGCCCACAAGTTCATCACAATCCACCCCCCTTGGAGGCTCGACGTCCCCGTTGGCACACTTCCGGCTGGGTCAGGCTTTGATACCATTTGTAACGACTGATTCCACCACATGGTATGATATTGTCCGCTTTGGGCCTGAGCCCGCACGGTTTTGCTCTTGGGTTTCACCCCAAAAGTCCTTATACCAATTGGAGTGACACACTTACATATAAATACTTCACCTTTCCTCTACCCAGGCGATGTGGGACTGTGCACCCGTAACTCGTCAGTGTGGTAGCCTGACAGTGTCTCTCGCACCCGCCCACGGCACACCTGCCCACAAGGTCATCACATGTAATGATATGGTCGGATCATGGATTCTGAACTCGGTCTCTGATGAAATTTGAAGCAGCATCTTATATGCTAACAATGCGAGAACTATATGGATTAACTTGTCCAGAACGTTTTTCGCAATCTGATGCCCCCAAAATTTACCTACTCAACCAATCCATATTTAAATGATCCGACCATATCATTACAATATTGTTTTAATACCCCTAATTTTAAAATGATAGTCTCAGAATTTTTTTAATTGTTTTATTGCATTTTTAATTAATTAATTGATTTATTTGATTACGTTACTATTTGTTTATGTGCTTTTAATTGAATTATTTATTTAAATTAATTATGTGTTTAAATGATATTTTAAATTTAATTATATGATTTTTTATATGCTAAATGATGATGTGTATTTTTATTGTTTTGAATGCTACGTGTTTATTTGTATTTGAATTGTTTATTTTTATTTTATTTCATTTTTAAAGGATAGATATGGATTGTAGTAATTGACCAACCATTTGGGTCCCATGGATTACTTGGATATGAGTCTAAATGGTTATATATATATATATATAGGGATATATGTATATATGGATAATTTTATTATTATTATTAGGGTTAAATGCAAAAAACCCCCCTAAACTATTGGGGTTTTGCAAGAAACCCCCATGAACTCAAAAAACCCCCATAAACTATGTTTTTGTTGCATTTTACTCCATAAAGTGACCGGAAAAGATAAAAGACAATTTCACCCTTGTTATGAAAGGATGTAGTTTTGAACTTATATATATATATATATATATATATATATTCCCAACCAGAGAGAACTTCCCACTTCCATGGCGGTTAGTCGTCGGCCATTACCTCCTCACCTCCCACCAACAACACCGTCTCTGCCGCTCAACGTGAAACGTACGCCACCACGCAAACCCAGTGGCACCACCCCGAACATACACCACCGTCAAACCCAATTTAACCACACACAAACCCACTACCATCACTCCAAAACATACACCACCACCACACCGTCAAACCCAATTTAACAACATAAACCACTACCATCACTCCACCATCGCCGTCACTTCTGTATATAAACTCAAATAATTTAGTGTGATTTAGGGATTTAATTTTGGAATTTTGTCAAAATGAATAAGGGTTATATAGTCATGGGTTATACAGTCACATCCAAACACCACCTTCCCTAACTGAGAATTGGAAGCACCATATCAGCTTTAAAATTTGGCGACCAGGCAAATCGGCGAGACTACGACGAATCACAAATCCACAGTCTTTCTAGCTTTTTCGTTCACCGGTCATCCAAACAACGACGGATTGGTTGAAGAAGCCCTAGCTGCGACCGAAAATCAATGCATCTCTGAACAATGCCTAGATGAGATTGCCCTCGAAGTACTCTTCGGTCATCTCCAGAACCTCTCCGGCGCAGCAAAGAGGCGCGACGTTGGACAGCTAGAGAATGATCTTGACGCTGTAATAGAACTTCGTCGCGGTTTCGAAAGCCTCAGAGCAGCAGAGATTGTTTGGACTCTTCTGGGGTTTGTCTCTTGCTCTGTTATCAGCTTGTGAAGCTTATTACTTTTAACATCAGAGAAACTGAAATAGTAAAACAAAAACACATACTAACACACATCGCAAAAAACTCTAAAATTAGGGTCCCTCAGCAATCCAGTCGGGTTGGGCCTCAGCAGGTGGGTCAAAATCCACAAGCACTAGACACAGCGATGACGACGATGAACAACGAAGGCGATCTAATTGGGTTTCAATTTGAACATCAATTCGGTGACGAGACCATGCTCTCGATTTGGGTTTGGCAAAACAAGCAATTGGGTCTAATTTGAACCATCAATTCAGCAACGAGTGAAAAGGAGGTGTATCGCCGGCTGAGTTACGGTTCCGATGAGGAGTGTGAGGGTATCGACGGAGAGGAGTGGTGAGGGTTTTGTTTGGATTTCAATCCCTCTGTTTCATATTCAACTATTTATCCGGCAAATGTTTCCTCTGGATATCTTTAATTCTCCGAACAAGCACACACACACATATATATATATAGACACACACACATAGAGGGAGGGAGAGAGCTGCTGCTTACGCTGCCGTAGTTGGAGCGGCGAAATCTTGTGGCTGTGATTAACGAAGAAGATAAACAGTGTAATGATAAGGCTGTGTTTGGGTAATTAGGCGTAACAGTACACTAAGAATGTGTTTGGGTGTAATGTTCATAATAAGGGGTAATACAGTCTTTTATATTCATAAGGGCATTATGGCAATTAAGTTTATATTGTGTGATCATGTGACCGCACGTGATGGTTTTAACGGCGAAATTCAACCGGCCGGTCGCCGGATGGAGCTGTTTGCAACAAAAATTATAGTTCAGGGGGGTTTTTTGAAAATTTTGAAGTTCAGGGGGGTTTGTTGTTGATTGACCAATAGTTCAGAGGGGTTTTTTTGCACTTAACCCTTATTATTATTATTTGTAGTATTATTAATAGTAATATTATTATTATTATGGATAGTTACTAATGTGTGTATATATATATGTATTGTTGTGATTTATATGTATATATATATTTTAATGTAGCAGACTTAGTATATATTTATATTTGTATTTTCTATTTTTTATTTTTTATTTTCCTTTATTTTAATTAAGGTAAAGTTGGATTGGGAATATGATTTTATAGTTATATATATATGTATGTATGTATTGGGAGTCTGCGAAAGGGTTAGAAAACCCAATTCACGTACAGAATATTAGAGAGAGAAAGAACAAGGTTTTGGTAAGGAAGAAGGAGGCTAAACTAAGGAAGAAGGAGGCTTAGATTTTCAATCCGAAAATCTTAAGACAAGTTCTATTCTATTCTTCTCCTTTGATTTCGTGGTCTATACATGTCTAGATTAATCTCAGGATGTTTAAATTGAATTAATCAAGCCCTTTGCATGCTAAAATCAGATTTACAAATTATGATTATATGTTAATGGGTTTATATAGATTTTTCATGTTTTGATAAATTGATGTATGAATTGTGTTCTATGATGTTA